AGAAAAGAAACACATTGACTCTATGGTTTCTAACATCTTCTTAACAAGAAACTAGATTTCCAAACACCTTGAAAACATGATGAGTGAAATTAGGACCTCACAGAGAAAAGCTATTGAAATGGAAGACAGCAGAAGTACCCAACCGTGCTCCGTGTAAGTGGATACTGAGTGTAGAGAGGTGTTGCCAGAATGCTTCCACGTGTTGCACAATCAAAGAAAATTTAGCACGGCCAGCTTGTTCTCAGATTCTGACCGGCCTCATTTGCCTGAAGAGAGTAGCCGTGGACTGCCTCAAGGGTGCTCCTCAGGAACCAGTCTTACAAAGTAGGTGAACGCCCCGAAGAAGATCAGTCAGGTTTGTTAAATAAGAAAATAATTTGGAAGACTTAGAGTGTACATCAGAAGCCAGCCAAACAGAGACATGTTTCCCTTCTGTACACAGTAGGATTGATGTGATGGATAGAAGTGAAGACAAATATATTAAAATATCAGGCCGGATCATACCTGCAATCTCAGCATTCAGTAAGTGGCTGAGGCAAGAGGACTGCCATGAATTCAGCTGAGGTCACCTGAGCTACATAATGAAATCCTGTCTCAAAAAAAGAGCCACTCACAAGCTTCTTAAAATGAAACTTCTATGCATAATACTACACTATGGGACTCTTCAAATATCAAGTGCAATTAGTTCTTTTTTTTGTTTTTTGTTTTTTGGGGGTTTTTTTTGGTTTGTTTTTTTTTTTTTGTATTTGAACTTGAACTCAGATCTTTGTACTTGCCAGGGAAGCCCTCTACTGCTGAGCTACATCCCTGACACTTTTCCTTCCTTCCTTCCTTCCTTCCTTCCTTCCTTCCTTCCTTCCTTCCTTCCTTCTTTCCTTCTTTCCTTCTTTCTTTCTTTCCTTCTTTCCTTCCTTCCTTCCTTCCTTCCTTCCTTCCTTTCTTTCTTCCTGTGCAATTAGTTCTAAACAGCCTAATGACATGGATTTTGGCATATTCATAAAACCCTCCCAGAGACCGGGGAGACAGCTCAGCAGTCTAAGCACCTGCCTGGCAAGCTTAAGAACCCGGGCCCAATCCCTGGTACTGCATGCTGTGCTGCCCCAGAACCACAAGCATGCTGTGCTGGCCACTGAAACCAGGCGTGGTGGTGCACATCTGTAATCCCAGCTCTGTGGGAGGATCGCTATAAGTCTGAGCTCCATAGCAAGAGCCTGTACCAAATAAATAAATAAATAAATAAATGATTTTTTGAAAACCCCTTCCCAAAAAAGTTGGTCACCTACATCTTAATAGCTCTACTAGTTAAGAGACCAATTTTAAATTTGAATCAAATAGTCCCATGCGCAGTATCATTTTCCAAGATGATGTTGTTGAAGAAAGACAGACTGCCCTAGAATCAGGCTCCAATTTACAGGCAATTCATAGAAGTTATGAGGCTCTAAAGAAACATTTTTCCAGGAAAAGGGGAGGACTGGGCATGCTGAGAGACTAAAGTAGGGGGATCGCCACGAGTTTGAGGCCATCATGGGCTACACAGTGAGTTCAAGGCCAGTCTGCACAACATAATGAGACCTTGTCTCACCAAGAAAGAGAGGGCAGGGGAATCTTATTTCTCTAATCCTGAAACACTTGAAAGACAAAACCAGGTTTGAGTCATACAACCAAAAACACGCAAACAGATATGGTGTGGGTCTCACTTTTTCAGACACTCATGATTTGCTCAGTAATTATGCAAAACTATCTGGATGCATGTCCTTTGGTGATAGAAAATGGTCTCTATCACCATTAATTAATTTTTTCCCCAGTGGAACAAAAATTGAAGACCATAGTACCATGTAGTCCTGGGGGGAACTTCTGTAGATTTTAAAAGAAAAGGAAATCTTGAATAACAACCTTGACACTAAAAAATCTCTGACTGGCCAAGCCATGCAGTACCCAGTTAATCTAAATGGGGTGCTCTTAAATTGAAGCTATGTCACAGAACAGCAAATGATTGTAACTTAAATAATGTTAGAAACATAACAGTGTTTTTCAAAGATGTAAAAATACTAAATACTAGAAAGAGAGAAGAAAGAAAGAAAGAAAGAAAGAAAGAAAGAAAGAAAGAAAGAAAGAAAGAAAGAAAGAAAGACCTAACCAAGGACTTTTCAAAAATGAAAAAAAAAAACCATAAATCCTTAGATTTGAAAAAAAAAAATCTCTTTATGTGCTGTGCATGAAGAAAAAAGAAATAAAAATATATTTCTAGTTTCACATTCTAGTAAAACTTAAGAATACCAAGGATTTGCCAAGTATGGTGGCCCATGCCTATAATCCCAACACTCAGGAGGCTGACACAGAACGATCACCAGGAGTTCAGGCCAGCCTGGACTATATAATGTGTTCAAGACCAGCCTGCATTACATAGTAGACTCTATCTCAAAAAAAAAAAAGGTAGATTACCTAAAACCAAGGACATCAGAGTCCTTACTGGCAACAATGGAAGCCAGAAGAAAATGAAATAATATTTAAAAGAGAAAGAAGAGAAAGAAAGGGGGACAGAGATATAGCTCAACAGTCTAAGCGCCTGCCTGGCAAGACCTAGGACCCTGGTTCAATCCCAGTACCAAATGCCATGCCGCCCTGGAACCCCGGGTGCACTGTGCTGTCCCAAAGGGTATGGTGGCTCAGGTCCGTAATCCCAAAGCTAGGGAGCTGAGGCAGGAGGATCACTACAAGTCCAAGCTGCATTGCAAGACCTTGTACCAAATAAATAAAAGAATTTTTAAATAATTTTTAAATTAAAAAAGATGAACTTGAATCTAGAGTTGTATACATAGCTACACAACCCTTCAAGAGCAATGACAAATACATTTTCAGACATCACTTCAAAGCAAAAAAAAAACCCTGAAACTATATAGAAGCGATGATATAACTGAAACAATGAGCAAATAAATCACAAACATAGTGAAAAAGCTAAATGCATACTGACTGTGATCATAAATTTTATGTTTAGTTTCTGGTCTAAAGTTGCAGAATTTGGGCACTGGGAGCACAGGAACAGAGGGCAATCCAGGGCACTGTGCACCAGACACTGTTGGCGTCCTGACTCGCACAGTATTGGCTTTGCCTCTGACTTCAGGCAAAGTTTCAGATCGAGTTCCTGGTGCACTCACAGCAGCAGGCTTTCACCTTAGGTGAGATTTCAATTTCAATTTCTGCTCCAGGGTTTCTGGAGTTAATGCCTCCAGAGGCAACCCTCAACCACCAGGGGTGGGAGCGTTCTTCAGGTGGACAATCAGAAGTCTTCCAGATGTGCCTCAGAAGTTCCGGTAGAACTGAGCCCTAACTGCCCACAGTACAGAGCCCCATGACAGGCTCCTGTTGGCTATCTTCCCATCACCCACTCTCCTACCCCTTTCTCCCTATATAAAAGCCCTGACTCCAACTTTGATTTTAAGAGATTGGTAATGGATTTCCAACTCTGTTGGTACGCACACAGAATGCTGGAACCATCCACAACCTGCTGGACACCATCTGAAAAGGGTCACGATACAAGATACAAGGGATTTCTAAGCTAAGACACTCAGGTTCTTGTCTACTTCAAAAGAACCA